CCCTTTCTTCTTCTCCCTTTCCCTCCCTTCTTTCCTCTCTCTCTCTCACTCTTTCTTTGTTCCTTCCTTCCTTCCTTTTTTCTTTCTCAAATTTACATAGCTGTCATTCTCTTATCTATGACTCTGGGCTGCTTACAAACAATCTTAGCCAATTAATGCAAGTTTTCCTGTCCTTCCTGGAGCTGGAACCCAGCATGCCTAAGGAAGGCTGACCTACAGGATAAAATAAAGGCAGCGTTTCTCAAACATGGTGACTTTTAAGACATGCGGACTTCATCTCCCAGAATTCTTCTCTGGCTGGGGGAATTCTGGGAGATGAAGTCCGCATGGTCTTAAAAGTCGCCATGTTGGAGGAATAGAAGGAGAGATGGAGGGTTGGTTGGTGGTCCAATTTAAGTGTCGACCCTTCTCTGTGGTGCCCCCTGCAGTTCATTGCTGGGACTACCGGCGTTTCGTGGTGCAGAGATCCAAGGTGCTACCCCAGGATGAGCTGGCCTTCAGTGACAGGCTGATCACCCGGAACTTCTCCAATTATTCCTCCTGGCATTATCGCAGCCTCCTTCTCCCGCAGCTGTACCCTGACCCCCAGCACCAAGGACGGATCACAGAGGAAATCCTTCTGAAAGGTGGGAATGGGGAATGGATAGGTTGGGAGAGGGGAAACCCCCCCCTCCTCCCCTTTATAAGAGGTCCAGGGGTGGAGAGGGGGGCTGGTCTCCCCAGGAGGAGAAGAAATACCATACCGCATTACCAGGTGCTGGACAAAACGCTCTCAGAATGGCTGAAAGCTGGAGGGGAAATGGATTTCGGTTTCATTTGGCTGGGGAATTCTGGTAGTTCAAGTCCATAGGTGTTGGCCAGACAGACAGACAGACACAGACAAGATGGGTGGGTAGGTAGATACAAACAATTAGATGATAGAGAGAGATAAACTATTAGATTATACAGTAAATGATATAGAAATAGAGATAGATAGATGGGTAGATGGAGGGAGGGAGAGATAAATAATTTACAGATGAAATAGAATTATAGATAGATGGATGGATGATAGATGACAGATACATAAAATTGGATGGATGGGTAGGTAGGTAGATGCAAACAAATAGAATAGAAATAGATTAACTTTCTTTTCCCTTTGAATGTACACTAATCAGCATACATTAAAATGAAGTTTCTTTGCATACAGCTTAAAGGTTCACCTGCACTATACACTACATAAATATGATGAGATAGATGAATAAATAAATACGAAATTATGTACATACCCACATACTGTGTATTTTTGACATAGATGATAGATGAAAAAGAGATGGATTATTAGATTATAGATGATACAGATATGTGTGTGTGCAGAGAGAGATAGATCTATATAGATAGATATTTCTGTGTGTATGTCTATTTTACATACATACATACGTATATATATGAAACAGAGAGAGAGAGATAAACAAGTAGATAGTTTATAGATGATACAGAATTATCGATGGATGGATGATAGGTAGACAGATAGACACCTAGATAGATGTTAGATATAGTTGAGCTACAAAGGCCTTAAATGTAGATGAGATTGAGGAATTGGTCTAAAATGGCCCATCCATTTCCCCGTGCTCATTGCTTGCTGCTTCTCCAGATGAAAATACAGCTGTATGAAAAAGTCCTGCATGCTTTATGGTTTACAACATTTTTAGGATAGGCCATTGATTTTATGATATTTTACGCTAACTGCAAGTATTGTTATATTTAGATAAATACTGGTGGTTTTTAAGTGAAAAGCATAAGCATTTTGCAACTTGGTGCTGTTTGGATAGGGATTGTAAATTTTCTTACTTCATTACAGTGCATGCTTAACAATTATGAAAACAGATTAATTTATGCATACCCAGTGGTATACGTGTTGCAATTACTAAGGCCGATGCTAGTGCTTTGTTAACACTTTTATTGTCTGTGGCCCTGAAAAGGACCATATAGGTAACCAAACGTGGTTACTAATATAAAATTGGCCAGCCCTTATTGATTATCACCAGGCGGCATCACTTCGGCATAGACTGTATAAGCCTTTGCACATGATCTTTGGCTGCAATAATGGACTCAACCGGCTCCTGCTTGGTTTTCGGATGCTTCTTGTTTATTTCGTAACCAATCTTGGCCCACAAGTTCTCAGTGGGGTTCAAATCCAGGTTCTGACAGGCCAATCCAGGAGTCGAACACCATGCTTCTTCATCCACTGCTGGACGGACTTGGCTCGATGACAAGGAGCGTTGTCATCCTGGAAGTAAAAGTCCTTCCCGACAAGTTGCTGAGCTGAAGGAAGCGTGGTCTTTTCCAGGATTTCAACATATTGCTTGGAATTCATGATTCCCTGCGCAATTTTTGTATCTGACCAATACCAGAAGCAGCCCCGGATCTTCACATGCCATGGATGCTTCAGATAGATTCAGACAGCATGGCCTAAATTCTTCGGCTGGAAATCTTCTGACCTACTTATTGCACTGATTCCCAGTCAAGTAGAAATTGATCTCGTCACTGAAGATGACCTTGGCCCACTTGGCATACTTCTTGGCCCGCGCACGTCGACGAGAGCGGTGAGCGTCTTTGAGCAAAGGTTTATTTCAAGCCCTGCAACCTTTGAGGCCTCTGGCAAGCAGTCTGCGATGCACTGTGCTTGTGCACACTTTTACATCACGTTTCACCCCAAAGTCTTGTAATCTGAGGTGAGGTGAGCTTCCTGTCAGTCATCAAAATGTGTTCGCAGATCCCGATCTTGCCGTTTTGTCGACTTTCTTGGTCTTCCAGAGCGGAGCCTGTCATCAACTGAACCAGTTATTTGGTATTTTTCAACCTCACTGCTCACTGTGGTGCAATGACATTTCACTCTCTTGGCTATACAGGAGTAACCGTCTTCATGAAGCACAATGATGCAATGCCGCTGCTCAGTACTGGTGAAAGCAAAGGCCTTCATCCTTACCCGCAGCCAGAGCTAAATTAAATTTATCGATTTAAATTTAAATTTGATTGGCTCCTAGATTTAGCCTCTGTGCATTTTTGATTGGTCATCCAAAACTCGTTGCTGATTGGCTACTTTCGATCCTAACATTCTCAAAAATGCAAGCTGTGTTTGTTTTAGCACATACTCGCTCAAAACCTTAAAAAGACTTTAAAAAGTCGATTAAGCAAGCAAATTTCAGTTTCAAAACTGAAAGCACGCAAGGACTTTTTCACATAGCTGTAAATCATATTTCTTAACTGGCGTTCTTTTCTCTCTCGATCATCACCTCACCCCATTTTTGCTTCTTTTTGGTTTTCTTTTGAATCTTTGAATTTTTTTTGAGTCTCTGGAAGCCAAACATGATTGAAGGCTCATGCCAGCTGTCGTTGCCAAACCTTCCCAAAAGCAGCCGATCGTATCACAGTTCCCAGCTTCGTTCGCTTTCTTCTTCCTCGTCATCCGAAGAAACCCAAACTTTTATTTTTCTCTTCATGATGGTGTACCTTCATTTAATTGTGCCATAAATCTTCTTCTTGGACACATTCCTTTATCCCATTTAGCGTTGAGTGACTTCATCAGGACATTCCTTTTTGAAAGATGAGGGGAAATTTTGTTTTTCTGTTAAATGTCTGGTTAATAACTGTAGGAAGGGAGTTTTCCTCTCATTGTTATCTTCACAGATTATTTGTGGGCAATGAAACTCATAGCTGAAATTTAGTTTTTCTTTCCCCTCAAAAGTGTTTTCCAGGGAGGAAATCACTCCTTATTTTATTTCCCGGTTCAGCCTTCACACAGGCTATTTCACCTCCGTGCTTTCTTCACAACATGTAATACAGCTAGTCCTTGACTTACAACTGCCGTGGTTAAGCAGGTCACACCTGATTTTATGAGGGAGCTTGTTTGCTATGGGTATGAAGTAATCACAGCAGTTGTTAAATGAATTGTGCAGTCGTTAAACGAATCTGCCTTCCCCGGTGGACTTGGCCTGTCAGAAGCCAGCCGGGAAGGTCACAAAAGGGGGGATCTCGCTGTGACTGTCATAAATACATGCCAGTTATCAAGCCCCTGAATTTTAAGCACTTGACTGTGGGGATGCTGTGCCGGTCATAAGGGGGAGGACTGGTCATAAATCACTTTTTTTCAGTGCTTTTGTAAATTTGGTGGCTGAATGAATGGTTTTAAGTCAACGACCACCTGTTGTTTTTTCCTTCTTTCCTTCCTTCCTTCTTTTTCTTCTCTTCATTTCTCCTTTTGGTTTTCTTTTTTTTTCCTTCCTTCCTTCTCCTCTCCTCTCCCTTTTCTTAATTTTTTCCTCTCTTTTTTCTTTCCTCCCTTCCTGCCTTCATTCATTCCTTCTTTCCTTCCTTCTTCTCTCTTTTTCTTTTCTTAACTTCCTTCTCTCCCTCCTCCCCTTCTTTTTCTTCTCTTCTTCCTCTCTTCTTTTTTCTTCCTTCCTGCCTATCTCCCTTCCTTTCTCTTTTCTGTTCTTAACTTCTTCCTTTTTCCCCCTTCCTTCCTCTCCCCTTCTCTCCCTCTTCATTTTCTTCTCTTCATTTTTTTCTTTCTTCTCTTTTCTCTTCTTCCTTTCTTTTTCCTCCCTTTTTCCCTTCCTTCCTTCCTCTCCCCTTCTCTCCTTTTCTTCTCAACTTCTTCCCTTTTCCCTTCCTTCTCTTCTCTTTTCTCCTCTTCCTCTCTTCTTTCTTTTTTCCTTCCTTTCCCCTCCTCTCCCCTTCTTTTTTGCTTCCTTCTTCCTTTCTTTTTCCCTTCTTTCCTCTTCTCTGCTCTTCTCTTAACTTCTTCCTTCCTTCCTTCTTTTTTCCTTCCTTGCTTTTTTCCTTCCTTCCTTCCTTCCCATCTTTTGCCTTTCTTCCGCTCCTCTTCCTTTTATGCCAATTTAAACCCCCACCCCCCCGTCTCAAAAACATGGGCACCCCTTGCCGATAGGAATCCAGTCCGATGAATGTAAGTGGAGCCTGCTTCACCTCTTAGCCAACCCCCTCTCCAAAGACAATAATAATAACGTTTGCAGAAGATTAAATAAACAGAGAATAAACTTTACAAATTCCTTTGGAGAAGGAGAACACTAAAAGGTAATTAATCATAGCCCTTTTTTCAGAGAGAGCGATGATTTCCGAGACAAGTTCCCTTTTAACCTCCTCCTTTTCTTTATTACTCCCCTTTTCAGCCCCTTTAGAAATAAGCGAAAGAACCCAAACTAAGGTAGCCACACCTGCCTGGTCACGATCGAAATATGTTGAGTGGTTTCTGTTTGCAAAAGCCACTATAGCAACCGGTCTTGGTGCCAACCTTGGCATCAACGGTGCACTTATAACGCTTCCATTATTTTTTTTATCCCTGGAGCATTTTTACCTGTCTGCTGTTGTTGTTGTTGGTCTGGTGTGGTGCTTTCATTATAGGCAAGAAAAAAGGAAGGCTCAGCTCGGAACAAACCACGATCCACGTGGTCTTTTGGGGGTGCCCACCAGCAAGAGGTATCGAAGGAAGTTTGCAGCTGCCAAAAAGGACCTATGGGGTCCCAGGCTGCGTTAACAGAGGGATGGAATCAAGATCATGTGAAGTGTTAATATCACTTTATAAGGCCTTGGAATACTACATCCAGGATGTTAAGAAAGAGGTTGAGACTCTAGAAAGAGTGCAGAGAAGAGCAACAAAGATTGGAGTGGAGGATAAACATATGAAGAACAGTTGCAGGAACTGGGCATGGCTAGTTCAGGGGCCGTCATACTTGAAGACCCTTGGTCTAGTTTAATGAAAAGAAGGCCTAGGGAGAGACATGACAGTAGTCTTCCAATATTTGAGGGGCTTCTCCAAAGAAGAGGGGGTCCACTTATTCTCCAAAGCCCCTGAGGGCAGGACAAGAAACAATGGATGGAAACTAACCAGGGAGAGAAGCAACCTGGAATTAAGGAGGAATTTCCTGACGGTGAGAACAATTAACTCAGGGAACTACTTGCCACCAGAAGTTGTGGGTGCTCTATCACTGGATGTTTTTGAGAAGAGATTGGACAAGGTTTAAACGGGATAGAGTTTCCTGTCTGAGCAGGGGGTTGGACTAGAAGACCTCCGAGGTCCCTTCCAACTCTTATTCTGTTAAATAAAATTAAACTTTGTCTCTTTCCTTGCCGGAGGAAGAACTCATCTTGAAGTTCAGTCTAGACCAGGTTTTCCCGCTGGGTTAAAAGTCAGCTGCCATACTGGTAGTCCTCAAATTATGACCAAAATTGGAGAGTGGAAAATTGGTCGTTAAGTGGAGCAGTCATTAGGCGAGACAACACCCTAACCCTGCTGGCTTCCCCGTTGGCTGGGAGGATCAAAAATAACAATCACGTGACACACACACACACACACACACGGGATGCCTCAACCGTCATAAGTACATGCCAGTTGCGAGCATCCAAATCATGATCCCAGAATTACAACGGTCATAAATGCGAAGACCGGTTGTTAAGTCACTTTTCAGTGCCGGATTTGCTAGAACTACTTCCAATGCAGCATTTTGGATGTGAAAATGTAAATGGATGCCTCTTCTTGTTTTTAACCATAAATGTCAGCCATTTCTTGGCAAATGCCAAGAATTCCTGTTCTAACCCTCTATATTTTTTATTATTGTTGATGTTAATAATATTAATATTATTATTTAATTAAATTTATATGCTTCCCATCTCATTGTCAAGCAACCAGGCGGCTTAAAACATCATAAAAGCACAATATAAACCATGAAAAATATTTGGGAGCAAGATTAAAGACATTTTACCAAATCTTCTCTCTTTCAGAGCTGGACCTGGTGCAAAATGCTTTCTTCACTGACCCGAACGATCAGAGTGCTTGGTTCTATCACCGATGGCTTCTGGGAAGAGGTAGGAGCCAAGCGGCCATTTTGCTTTCAGGAGAATTCACCTTAAGGCAGATTCTGGGGAGGGGCATTGTTTCAGGCTTCCCCAGGATAGGAAGGGGGCGAGAGGGAGGATTTATCTCGAGATCAATGAAGACTGCCCCCACAAAATCATCTGCTGAGGATATTAGAGGCTGGGAGACATGAGTTGGTGGGGTCCTTGGTGGTCTCTAGGCTTGGTGGTTTCCTTGCGGACATCTCATGACCCAACTAGATAACATTGTCAGTGTAGCATTACCTACAAGCACTGATGATGTTACCTAGTTGGTTAATGAAATGTCTGCAAGGAAACCATCAAGTGCAGAGATTACCAAGGGCCCCACAATTCTCCTCCTCCTCCTTCTCTTCCTCCATCTCCCTCATTCCAAAAACTCTACTCCCTTGTAACACTCCCTTCTGTCTCTGGAGATTCTCAGTCATCCAAGTCATGGTTGTCCTAAAGGTGCTTTTTCAAGATAAACCTCCCAGTGGCTTCAGCCATTCTCAGAGAGAGTACCAACAACCAGATGACTGCAAAATATCAGTCTTTCCCTCTTCCACCATTCAGCCAGAACTGAAGAAGCTTCTTGGATGAGAAGCGAAACGTCTTCAAAGAAAAACGAAAAAAAGTCCACTTGCCTCTTGAAAAAGCACCTTTGGGGACCCATGCCCTTTCAGCACTATTGATGTTCCCCAGTTGGGTCATGAAACGCCTGCAATTAGGTCACCCGCAGTTCAACCCTGTCCTACAAATATTCTGTTTTATTGACGCTCCCCTGAATTTAAAGACTTTTGAAAGACCGGGGAATCCCAACTTTCAGAATTCCCCCGACAGCTAAAAATTCTCCAAGAAGTAAGCGCCACAACCTCTGTAGAACGCTTCCAGTACGGGAGGCGTTTTAACAAAACCCATGTTCCACTCCCTGTATGGATGCCTTTGTTTCCCACTCTTAGGGGATCCCGAGCCAACCATCCGCTGCGTTTACGTCAATAGGGAAAACACCTCCCTGGCGGTAGCCTTCTCTCATCCCGTGGCGGTGAGTTCCAAAGACTCTCAAGAGGAAGAAAAAATTTTTTTTTCAGAAGTCTGCTGGCTGTGGCGACCGTTTCCTATTCTCCTTTTTTTAGGTGGCTCCGGCCTCACATGACCTCATTGTGTTCGGAGACGAGTCTCCGCTGGTAGTCCGTTGGCGCACTCCGGATGGGAAAAATAAACCCGGCTATATGTGGGTATCTTTTGAGACTCAGTTGGCCAAAGATGAGCCATTGATGAATCGGGGAGCAGAGAAACAAATGGGGGTGTTCTTTTAGTTAATGTATGCATAAAGTATCCAGGCTGCCTTTAAAAATACATCTGTGCAAGTAATCCTTGAGTTACTTGTTTAGCGACCGTTCCAAGTTACAGCAGCAGTGAAAAAAGTGAATGGCGGCCATTTTACACCCCTAACGGCCATTGCAGTTACCTCAGGGATCCATTTATTCTCCAAAGCATCAGAAGGCAGGACACGAAACAATGGTTAGCAACTAAGCAAGGAGAGAAGCGACCTGGAATTAAGGAGAAACTTCCGAACAGGGAAGACAGTTAACCAGTGGAACTGCTTGCCACTAGAACTTGTGGTTGCTCCAACACTGGAAGTTTTTAAAAAGAAACTAGCCAGCCACCTGAAATCATATAGCTTCTGCTTGAGCAAGGGGGTGGACTAGAAGACCTCCAAGATCCCTTCCAACTCTATTGTATCCATGGTCATGTGTTCAGATTGGGAGATTTGGTAACGGGCTCATGTTTATGACGGTCATACTGTCCCGGGGAAATCACGCAATCCCGTTTTGCGACACCTGACGAGCGAAGTCAACAGGAAAACCGGATTTACTAAACAACTGTAGTGATTCACTAAACAACGGTGGCAAGGAAGGTCGTAAAATGAGGCCAAGCTCACTTTAACAACTGGGTTGCTTAGCAGTAGGGGGTTTGGGGCTCAGTTGCGGTCGTAAGACGAGGATTACCTGCCCACTTGTAGGCTTACACTCAAGGGCTGTTTTGTGCCTTGCAGAAATCCAGGAGTTTTTTTAATTTGTATCTTAGAGAATTAGGGTGGATTTAATTGCTCTCCAGAGACCAGTTTAAGAGAGATCCATTTTGGGAAGAGAGATGGAAGATCAAAAGAACAAAAGGAGTTGGGAAGAGATTAAATCAGGCAGAGTTTGTAAACCTGAGTTACCTGATGCGGGATGGACATCCTGGCTGGGGAATTCTGGGAGTTGAAGTCTATCTCTCTTAAAATGGTGAACATCGCTTTAGGGTTTTCCTAAAATGAAAAAAAAAAGAATTCCCACAGAGTCTGTTCAGCAAGATTCCTGCAGAGGAATGTGTAGGATCAAAGGAAGTTCCAACCGTGGCGATTAATTACTATTTTGAACCCACATTTTGTGTATTTTAGCTTGCTTCGTGCGTCCAACAAACTTGGCGCGGTCCAGCAAAGAGGCAGCTGATCCATTTGATAGTAAAGAATTTTCAAGCTGTCTGTTCACAGGCTAAGCGTATCACTACCGTTGTTAAGTAAATGGCACGGTCATTAAACGAATCCAGCTCGACTTTGCTTGTTGGAAGCCAGCTGGCAAGGTCACCCATGCCAATCTTGTGACCCTGGGCTCCTGCCATTGTACTTGGATGTCCATTTTAATCGCATGACTGTGAGGACGTTGCGATGGTTGTAAAGGCGAGGACCTGTTGTAAATCACCTTTTTTTTTCCCCAGTGCCATTGTAACTTTGGTCAGTAAACAAATGGTGGCAATTTGAAGCCTACCTGTACATTGGTCATATATAATACCGAGAATAGAGGAAATAATTCCAAAAATGATACAAGCTGACAAAGAGATGGAAAGCGATAGCAATCATTTCTAACACGGAACAAATGGATTTTTTTTTTTTAAAAAAATGGGCTCTTAAAAATTGGAGAACTGTGGATGAGAGCTCTAGGGATTCAAAAGTGAGAGATAGATGCTGTGGCAGAGGAAAATATTTAAATAAACATGATAAAAAGGAGTTACAAGATACCAGAGGAGAAGCAGGAAAAATTCACCAAAAAGTTAATAAGAGTTGAAATTCTAAAAAGGGCAAGAAATGATGGATAGATGTAGATTTTTTTAAGTGGTTGCTTTATTATGTGTTAGAAAAAAGGAGAAGAAAATAGAAATTGGGAAAATACCCTGTTTCCCTGAAAATAAGACCCAACTGGAAAATATCCCTAGCATGATTTTTCAGGATGCTCGTAATATAAGCTCTACCCCAAAAATAAGCCCCAGTTAATCTTAAGACTGATTCATTTAGACTTGTATTTCCCCCAAAATAAGACCTAACCAGAAAATAAGCTCTATTTCGTCTTTTGGAGCAAAAAATAATATAAGACACTGTCTTAATTTTCGGGGAAACATGGTAATATATGTGGGTATATGCATAATTCTATATTTATCTGTATTTATTCTGTTATATTATGCAGTGTATATTGGAGGTGGTGACCCTTTGAGAGCTATATGCAATTAAATTTTGCTTTAATGTATGCGTACATTCAAAGTGACAATAAAATTAGTATTATTCTATTTTTCCTGGGGGTTCAGAAACCAGCCCCAGATCTAGAAAATCTAAAATGACGATTTTAGCAGAAATATGAGGGCTGCAAATTTGAGGAAGGAGCGATTGTAATGCTCGACGTACAACCACAATGGAGCCCCAAAATTTCCATCGCTAAGCAGTTAAGGGAGGTTTGCCCCCATTTTATGACCTTCCTTGCCACGGTCGTTAAGTGAACCAATGCGGCTTTTAAGTTAGTGAACCCGGCTTTCCTTGACTTTGATTGTCGGAAGGTCACAAAAGGGATCATGTGTCACCGCAACCATCGTAAATACGAGTAATTTGCCAATCGTCTGAATTTGAATCACCTGACCATGGGGATTGCTGCAATGGCCGTAAGTGCGGGTGGAAAAAACACCCAATAAGTCACTTGGTTCTGTATGCCACTGTGACTTCAAATGGTCACTAAACGAAGTGACGTAAGTCGAGGACTGCCTGAATAAAAAAAGGGAGGGGTCCAGGCAGCAGTATTATCCTCTTTCCAGAATTCTGGTTTGTTTTTCCTTAAATCGGGCCATTTTCTCAGCTGTGTGACCTGCCAACCTCTGCTCTCAACGACCACTGGCCTCAACACACCTTTCGCGTCCTCTGGGCCGAAGGACACGTGCAGAAGGAATGCGTCCTCTTCAAAGGTGATGTGACCGCACCCCCTAATCCTCCTCAACCCCAATTTTCCTTGCATCCGCAGCCGGATGCCTGACCCTCTTCCCCCCCCCCTCTCCCCTCCGCAGGCCACAAGGACTGCTGGAACCAGGATTCGGTGACAGAGGAACAGGTGTTCAGGTAAGGGAGGTGGCCAAAATCTCAGGATGGGGGCCTTGGGCTGGGTTCACACAACACGCTAAACAAGGGAGAAGCGACTTGGGGAGGGATCTCGGGGAAAAACGCAGGCCAGAGTTTGACAGATGGAGCATTGAGGAAGGGAGGCGAAGGGTCAACGAAAGGAAGTGGTTAACTGGTTGGTTTCTCAGCAGATGTGGGTTTTTCCTAATTTATGGGATGGAAACTGCCTTGGCAAAGCGCTTCCCAGAACGTGGCCCGGGGAACTCTGGGAGTTGAAGTTTGCCTGCGCTGGCTAATGAATTCTGGGCGTTGAAGTCCAAATGCTGGCTAGGGAACTCTGTGAGTTGGTCCATCCAATCCTGGCTAATGAATTCTGAGAGTTGGGCTGGGGAACCATGGGAGTTGAAGTCCATCCATGCTGGCTGGGGAATTCTGGGAGTTGAAGTCCAACCAATGCTAGCTAAGGAGTCCTGGGAGTTGAAGTCCACCAAATATTAGCTAGAGGACTCTGGGAATTGAAGTCCACCCAACCTGGATGGAGAATTCTGAAAGTTGAAGTCCACCCAATGCTGGCTCATGGCTTCCAGGAGTTGAAGTCCAAATGTTGGCTAGGGAATTCTGGGAGTTGTAGTCCACCCAATGCTAGCAAGAGAATTCTGGGAACTGAAGTCCAAATGCTGGCTCATGGCTTCTGGGAGTTGAAGTCCACCCATACTAGCTGGGGAATCCTGGGAGTTGAAGTCCATCAATACTCGCTGGTGGGACTCTGGGAGTTGAAGTCCACCGTGTGGGCTAGGGAATTCTGGGCGTTGTAGTTCACCCACCTTAGTTGCTGCGTTTTGAGAAACACCGCTTTAGGATACAAATCTTCTCAATGCTGATGTGACTCCCTGTTTTTTCTTAATGGAGGAAACAGGTATGTTAATCTCTACTTAGCACCTCAAAAGCTGCTGTGTGGAAGACAGGTAGCTAATCCCCATGTAACAAGCCTCAGTCACGGCAATAAATCTTGGCAACGTACAACAGCAAAGAACACAACACAAACTGTTGTACAACGATCTACACCCATTGGTTGATCCTGCAGGTCATCCTCGACTTAACAATCACAACAGAGCCCCAAATTTCCGCTGCTGAGGGAGACAGTTGTTCAGTGAGTTTTCACCCATTTTGCGACCTTTCTTGCCGCCGTTGTTAAATGGGTCACGGCAGTTCTTAAGTGAGTCGCAAGGTTGTTAAGTGAATCCAGCTTTCCTAGGGACTTTGCTCGTCAGAAGGTCGCGAAAGGGGATCATGTGACCCTGAGACATGGCGGCCATCATAAATACAAATCGGTTGCCAAGCAACTGAATTTTGACCCCGTGACCATAGGGATGCTGCAACGGTCGTGAAGTGTGAAAAATGATCATAAGTCACATTTTTCACTGCCCTTTTAACTTCGACTGGTCACTAAGTGAACAGTTATAAGTTGAGGACCACCTGTATATCTTGTATTCCGAGTAAGAGCGTAAAGTGGCCGATGGACGACTCTGCCTTCCATTCTACCCAAACACACACCTCCCTGCCAGTTTTTTTAGCAGTAGAATAGAATAGAATCACAGAGTTGGAAGGGACCTTGGAGGTCTTCTAGTCCAACCCCCTGCTTAGGCAGGAAACTTTACACCACTTCAGACAAAATGATTATCCAGCATCTTCTTAAAAACTTCCAGTGTTGGAGCATTTGCCATTTCTGGAGGCAAGTTGTTCCACTAATTAATTGTTCTCACTGTCAGGAAATTTCTTCTTAATTTCTAGTAGGAAAGGGAGGAAGGAGAAGGAGGGAGGGAAGGAGGGAAGTTGGAAGGAAGGAAGATAGGAAAAAGGAACAAAACGAGGGGAGAAGGAGGGAAAGAAGGGAAGGAAGGAAGGGAAGGGGAGGAACCATGGGGAGAGGGAAGGGAAGGAGAAAATAAGAAAAAAGGAAGAAGGAAGGAGAGATGGGGAGGATAAGGAAAGGAAGGAAGGAAGGAGAGATGGGAAAGAGAAGGAAAAATGAGAAGGGGAAGGAAGGAAAGAAGGAGAGATGGGGAGGAAAAGGAAAGGAAGGAAGGAAGGAGAGATGGGAAAGAGAAGGAAAGACGAGAGGGGGAAGGAAGGAAAGGGAGAAAAGAAAGGAAGGGAAAAAGAAAAGGAAGGAAAGAAGGAGCCACTACGGGGAGAGAGGGCAGGAAAGAAGGGAGAAAAGAAGAAAAGGCAAGAAGGAAGAAAGGAAGGAAAAAAGAAAAGGCGGGAAAGAGGAAGGAAGGAGCATCGGGGGAGAGACGGAAGGAAAAAAGGGAAGGAAAAAAAAGAAAAGGGGAACCGATTATCCAGTTCGTTTCCTCTCCATTATCACAACCTCCTCCTGCCCCCTTCTCCACCCGACCCTCCTTGCTTTCCTTCCATTCTTGGGAAATCCAGGACTCGATCTCGGCCCCGGGGGCGGAACCGAGATCTTGCTGTGAGCTGGCCAAAGGGGAAACGGAGTCAGCGGGGATGATTTACGGGCCAACCTATTTTTGGGGCACGCATCAGGCTCCCTTCAGCCGAAGAAGCGCTGAGCTCGCCCTGACTCACGCAAGGAATGAGCGATGCCGGGGTGAACAGGTTGCCCGGTGCTCTCACCGCCTCTGACGCCATGGGGGAAGGAGGGCGGGGTGAGCTGGTTCGGGTTGGGGTGTTGGTGCCTCCCCCCCCCCCCCCCCCCCCAGCAATTCTTCACCTAAAAGGGGGGGGGGGGGGGGGGCAAGAGGCAGGGGCTGCAGGCCCCCTCAGAGCTTCAAAATAAGGGGGTCTGGCAGGGAAGGGGGTCGTTTCTCCACCTCGGCAGCGTTGAAGATGGGTGGACTTCGACTCCCAGAATTCCCCAGCCATCGTGGGTGGATTTCAAGGCCCAGAATTCCCCGGGCAAAGGGAATTTAAAGCTTTTTTCTCTCTCTCTCTCTGCTAGTTTTCTGTGAATAGCAAGAACGCGTTGTTTTGCGGTGTCTTTCGGAAGTGGGTTTATCTGTTTATTACCTGTTTAATTGACTGTGATCAGACTTTGAGTGAATGAGGTGGAAGAGAGAGGGGGCTCGTAATGGCTACCTCTTCCTTTCTCTCGTTCCCACCTCCTTACTCCATCCTTCCTCCCTCCATTTTTACTCCTCCCTCCTTTCCTTCCTTCCTCCTCCCCTTCCTTCTTCCTTCCTTCCTTCTTATCTTTCGTCCTTTCCTTCCTTTCACTCATTCCCATCTCCTTTCTCCATCCTTCCTCCCCCCATTTTTCCTCCTCCCTCCTTTCCTTCCTTCCTCCTCCCCTTCCTTCTT